AGCAGAATGATGGCTACCCTTTGGGAGACTTTGGGAAAGGAGGAATGGTGAGCTGTTACTTAATGGGCATAGAGTTTCAGTTTTGGAGATGAACGTCCTGGAGCCTGGCCACATGACAATGTTAATGCACTATAAATACTGAACTGTAAGCTTAAAAATGATCACTGTCCATTTCCTGTTACATATGCATTTTACCATGGTTGAGATGATAACACGTAAGTCCTCAGCCAATATTTTATTCCTTTCCTAAGGATGCTATATTTCCTTCAATTCTAGAAGCATTAGCAGCTATTCCCTCTAAGGTTCTCAAGGCACATTTTCCCAATGTTTAAAAAGAAACAAAAATATTGTAGATACTTATTAATGCAGGTGCCCAGGGATTATTCCCTGGAAATTATCAAATTCCCAAACACTGCAGGGAGCAATACCAGAGCACTGAGCATGAGTAGCCCCCAAGTACCTCCAGGTGGGATATCTTAATGCAGTGGTCTCCGAGTGTAGCATCAAGTTGCATGTCTGAATCCTGAGAAGCATCTAAAAAATGAATATCCCTGTCACTAATACAAATCTACAGGAACTGACCAATCCAACAGTGAAACTGTGACTATGTAGTTTTGAAAGCTTTTGAAGATATTTTTCTATGTAGCCTACTTGGTAAAATCATTCAAATGAAGGGCAGTTATGAAAAATGGTGCCTATACATATTTTTTTTTTGCTTTTTGGGTCACACCCGGTGATGCACAGGGGTTCTGCACTCAGGAATCACCCCTGGCAGTGCTCAGGGGATGATATGGGATGCTGGGAATCGAACCTGGGTTGGACGCATGCAAGGCAAACGCCCTACCTGCTGTGCTATTGCTTCAGCCCCTGTACATATATTCTTAACTCCCTCCAGTCTCTCAAACTCGCTTATGAAATGTCTAAACATAAGAATACAAAAATATCCTTTGCCAGTATTGGAAAATAAGAAAACTTTCATCAAAATATAAGAAAACTAAGGAATTTCTGGAAGACTTATATAAAGCAAATGGAATCAGTAAAATCTCACATTTCTAAAGGACCCAAAGTGAATAGTAGTATTATTATTTTTTGAACAGTATTATTACACTGGAATTAAGCAGTCTATTAGGACCTCAAAATATTCTTAGATCTGAGCCTGCAATTGTTGGCAGCAGATGTAGGTCAGGTGCCCAGGAATTACTGACAGCTTTGGTAACAATTTTGGAGCCTCTAAGTCTCAGAGGGGAAGGTTCCTGAATTATCTCCAGGTTGAAAATAAAAGGGAAGGGCAGTTTTTAGATAAGTTCTGTGGTCAAGATGAAAAGGAGCCCACTTCTTCCCAAAAGGTAAGCTTCTTGGGTACATCCTAAAGAAAGTCTGAGCAAACTGCCTTCTATTTCCCTCTCCCTACACTAAATCCCTCTAGCAGAGACCCTGTACTCATAATTTGTATTCAGTTGATTTTTTAAAATTTAAGTTGTAAAAACAAATCCATCCAGACTCTCTTTTATAAATATGACTTTCCAGCCAAAAATCACATTTATAAATGAGAATCTAGGTAGTACTAACTCTGAGGGGTAAGTACTAACTAGGAATTAAAGAAAATTATCAAAAATAACAAAATACTGATGGAAAAAAATGTGTAATCACACGATTTGGAAATTAAGATGAGAGACAATTAAAAAAAGCAAAACTAATCAAACAGCATCTTAGTAGGAAAACTGAATAGAAGGATGATCTGTCTATAGAATGAATCCAATATTACAAATCCCCTTGATCAATTATAGAATATTTATCTTAGGAGGAATGTCATAAAATACATATTTGGCACATCCTTCCAGCATTATGTGGGTTAGAGAAGGGCTCAGAATTAGTACAGAGACAGGGGGAACAACTGGGCAAGGATACCACCGCAAATCCCTGGAAGGTGGATCTGAGTTCTTGCATCAGCTTTGCCAGGTTGTACACCCCCATCTAGAATGTCAAAGTCATTAAACTATGGACTCCTCTTCACTTAGACCTTAGCCCAGGGACCATCTTCCTTTGGAAATTCTTCCTTGACTTCCCTTCCCTGGGCTGATTTTTATTTGCTAATATCCCACACACCATACAGTTAAGTTTAACTCACTGTTATAGTCTGTGTGTCTTAATTGTTCATAATACTATGGATGCTCTGGAGGTAGGCTTTAACTAGAAGCACTGGTTCTACTCAGATACAAAAAAAAATGATATAGGTTTTGAATCTCTACATATTTATCTTGCACGTTTATTATTAAAACTTACTGCATGGTTGTACTACCAACATGAAAACATACAATAAAGATTCTATTCGTTAAATTCATAGTTTCTATAGGTTCACCATTAAATGTAGGTACTGACTCAGATCATCTTAAAACTCTCTGAATTCAATAGGCTTCCATGAGATACAGCTTGTAAAAGTTAATGGTTAACTTAGAGGTTAGCTAACACTTAATCTCTAAGATTCTACTGAGTTGGTCAAACTACAATACAACTGTCAATAAATTTTTGTCTCCCCACAATGAACATTCAGCTAGATATTTTCATTTTTTGGGTACCACCTGATAGTTTTCCAGAGTGAGTCCTAAAATCTGACTTTCAGCTTTATACTGATAATTCTACTCTCCTTTACCTATTTGCTACTTCTGGGGCATTGAACTACAATGTATTGTGCCATGTCTATGTCAGGCATGAATACCCCCCAAAAGATACCAGAATTATCACTAAATATCATCTGATATCCAGTTGACTGAAATATTTTGAGCAATGTTCACAGAAATGCTTTTAAGTCTTGCTCATCAGTCCCTTCCCTGGCCCCCAACACAATATATTTTCTGCACTATACCCTGGGCCTCACACATCACCATAAACAGCAGATGATGTACTTAGTGCCAAGAGCAGATCAGCTCACTTAAGGAAGTAAAAGGCTAGGCCTAAGTAGAAACACAGAAAGCTACTGGTAAAAATAGTAAGTAAAGTAAAGTAAAGGCCCTCCCGTTGATCGTGGATTTGCTCGAGCGGGCCCAGTAACGTCTCCATTGGAGACTTTGTTGTTACTGTGTCTGGCATATCGAATACTCTCGGTAGCTTGCCGGGCTCTCCGAGAGGGGCGGAGGAATCGAACTCGGGTCGGCCATGTTGGCCCCTTGTAAGGCGAATGCCCTACCCGCTGTGCTATCGCTCCAGCCCGGTAAAAATAAATAAATAAATTAAATCTCTGGAACTGTTGACTCATTTCTATTTCAATGTCTTAAGAAATCATATATTTTAAAGAGCTAAAAATGTTTGTTTTCTATTGCCAGGACCAAACCTAAGACCTCACACATGCAAGACATATGTTCTACCACTGAGCTATATCCCTAGTCTTCCAAGAAACTTACAAAAGTCCCAATCACAGCTTTATAATTTCATAAGTCAATGAAATTCTTTTCCAGGTTGAAAAGAAAATGTGGTCAAAATCAACTCCCTACTGAACCTGAAGTTCAGAAGTTCAGGTATCCTGAGTATCCAAAATCTCATCACCCTAGTCACCAGAATTTTTATTTCTCTTTAACTTACTCTATATATAGTCAGAGAGACAGTACAGCATACAAAGCATTTATCTTGGATGCCCTGACCCAGGTTTGATCTCCCACGCCACCCAGGGTCCCCAAACCCACCAGAGTGACCTCTGAGCACCACCGCTGAGTGTGCTCCCCAAAATTAATAAAATACTCTCCATAAACAAGACAAAAAGCAAAAGTAATGAGATCCGCCACAAGTTGGGAAAATCTGAGTTTTAATTACTTTAATAGCTATTATTTTGAGACATGACATATAATATCTGAGAATAAGAAATTATCTTCTCAAAACAATGCTAATGGTCTTTTGGAAGAAATTCCCTAAAGAATATTGAGTGTCCCCTTCCACTGTCAATGAAAAGAAATCCTACCTCCCAAATAAGACTGAAAGGCATATGGAACATCATTAAATATAAATTGAAAAAGAACATTAAAAGTTTTTCAGAAAACTTTAACATTTTTTTTTTCACAAAAGAGAAAAAAGAGAGAATGATTAAGGTATCTTCTTTGTAACAATGCTGGTTTTAAAAGCAGGGATATGGGGTTAACACTTACATGGAGAAGAATTAAGATCAAGGAGAAACCTATAAAAACTAGGCTGGATTTTAATTGTCTGTACCTAGGTTTCCTGCAGAGATATATTCTAAACGCTGTTACACTTAATTCTTACTCTGATTAAGAGATGTTCAAAGAACAGCCTCAAAGTGAAATTCAAGAAGTGAGGGGTAATTGTAAAGCCCAGTCCAGCTAATGGAGGGCTAAGGAGGAAAAGAAAGAATAAAGGAAGGAGTGATGGTCTTTTGCACTGAAAAGTCCAAGGACTTGCATCAGTCCCAGTTCTGAAATCTTGCACAATGGCACTGAAGGAGACATCATCATTGCATAAAGGATCATCTGTACCAAATCTTTGAAAAGCAAAATTTATACATTCATATATTTGAATACACAGTTTTCTGGAACCATTAAAACGAAGTTTATCACACTAGAAAATTGTTATGGTCTAATTTACAGCAAATTGCTCAGGGACAAATACAGCCGTTATGCTGAAACTGCTGAGTAGCTCTGCAGTCTGTAGATGGTAATGTATGAAAAACACTCTCATTCACCTGATGTGCAGTTGAGTGTCACACAAAGGACAGCACAGTTTATGTTGAAATTTCCACTTTAACGTGCTGTACAAACGAGCAACTCTAAGACGCAGTTAAATAAAAAGCACATGTCATCATTTTAGCAGTAGAACTACTAACAATATAAAGAGCTCTGATTTTCCACAAAGAACTTTGTCTTTTTTGCTATCATCTTTTTAATTTAAAATCTTACATGTCAATGAAATCCTCTTAGGTACTCACACTCTTAATTGAAAGCATCAACACTCACACGATCAAGTTATTAATAAATGACAAGTTGGGAGCTTCTACTTACGTAGCTATATTGTTGAAGCTGAGAAACAGACGCTGGAGGCAGGGCAAATTATCCACATCTCTCTAGAAAAAAAACACATACAAACAGAAGGAAAAAATTTACCAGCTTAAAGAAAAATGATCTTCTTGTTCAGCTGGTGGATTATATAGTCATTTCTATTCACTGTAACCTTGCTAGACCATTGATTTCTACTGGACTCTGAGCTCCATTCTTCTCCACTGCAGAGTAAATGGGAGGGTTTCAGTGCATCTGCAGAACAAGCTGCAACATTCACAAGGTAATAAGCACTGAGGAGAACGGGGAAGGATGCTGCCGCTAGCCTCTTAAGGCAGGCTTTTGGGAAAGAAGCCAAAATGCTACTTCAGCATTTCAACAGTAGCACAACGATAGTTGGACCAAACATTTGTTTCAGATCACTTTTCAGAGGAAGCTGTTACAATTCTTTACATTTTAAATTTATCTCATTATCTTTCCAAACAGTGGTGCAGATTTCAAAGCTATTTTACTGAACTCTTCTCAGCATTGAGATGTTTTAAGCTACTTACATTCACTGTTTTTCTGTTAAAAGTTAAGCCATGCACTGTCAAGCCCCACCCAAAACTGAAACAAAGGGAAAAAAAGATCTTCTGAGTGTCTCTGAAGGGCACTGGAAGGACATTTTTTAACCTAAGGCAAGAATCAGAGGTTCTTCAATTGGATCTCTGCCCTATTCCACTGAGCAAAACAAACTGCTGCTGTTTAAAAATATGTAATCTATATCAAATATTGGGCTGGAGCGATAGCACAGCAGGTAGGGCGTTTGCCTTACAAGCAGCAGACCTGGCCGACCCAGGTTCAATTCCTCACCCCCTCTTGGAGAGCCCGGCAAGCTACCTAGAGTATCTCCCCACAGGGCAAAGCCAGGCAAGTTACCCCTGACGAATTCGATATGCCAAACACAGTAACAACAAGTCTCACGACGAAGACGTTACTGGGCCTGCTCGAGCAAATCGATGAACAATGGGAGGACACTGGACAGTGGACAGCGGATATCAAATATTAGGCATTTTGGGCCCAAGTGGTTTTTGGTATTTTTAAATCACAAAATAAATAGAAGGCTAATTTTCCTAAGGAAAAAGATATAAATCCTCGGCAAGTATGACATGTACTGGAGTAATAAAATCTAACGAGGAAGCTTACTCATCACCTGGTCTACAGCCTCATCATGCAAGTGAGGAAAATTAAACAGCTGAGACATTCTAGGCAGCGGCTACAGTGGTTCCCAGAAAAATGACCCAGGATGTCCATTATCTGGGCTTCCGGCATCCTACTCATTAAAATACCATACCCTGGCACTTCCCATTTATTCTCAATCATGATTCTAATTTATTTACTATATGTGGTGTTGGGGCTTGAACCCGGGAACTCACACACGCGAAGTGTGAAAACACAGTCCAACCCCACACTTCTCATTTTGAAGGACAGTGTTCTTTACTGTTGTCTGGGTCAAATATCACTACTACCTCTTACATATTATTGAGGGCAAAATTTCAAATCAGATCATCATGACTTTTTTGACTATTTCTCTGAGTTTCAGATTTCTTCCTTTCTTTACAAACTATCACTTTCATCGGGTAGGTCCGCTTTGGCAGCAGTTATGCTGGAAGTTTATACATCAAAACTATACACCTCAACATGATTGTAACCCTGTTGCCTATCCTATAAGAACAAGGACATTTAATTTTAAAAAATTAAAAAATAATGACACAAATCACTGTTTTCTAAAATACCAGTAAGAATCCAGGACATGGAGCTGGGTCAGGAGAAGATATGAGTTGTGAGTGGGACTGGGGCATGTGGGCAGCCAGCTGGAACTCAGGCCTGCTGCTTGGAGACCCTGCTGCCAGGGTTACTCAAAGAGAGAGTCAGGCAGAAAAGCCTAATACAAGAGGGCCCAGCACCAGCACAGCGACGCAGAGCCCAGACATCACACCTAATAATGACAACCATAAGGACTTCAAACCAGAGAGCCCCAGGAGAAGAAAGCCAAAACAGAGGCATTGCTGCCAACCTGTCCACGAACCCCTGCCCCCAACCTCATACTGACTGCAATCAGGACTCTGGAGGATAAATGTTCTGCTGAACCCTATCAGGTGTTTCCCCCTTCTTCTTAGGGCTGTCCCACAAACCAAAGGGCAAGAGGAACTGTCGCAAATGCCAAGGGGAGACGGAGAAACCCATGCACAGACCCTAGATGAGAGAGGGAGAGAGGGGGTCTGGGGAAAGAGAGTGAGCAAGCAAGCAAGAGACAGAGAGAATGAAAGACAGACAGACAGAGAAAGAGAGAGAGAGAGAGAGAGAGAGAGAGAGAGAGAGAGAGAGAGAGAGAGAGAGGGCACTTAGAGGCAGTGGACAGAGCCTGGTGAGTAGCAAGGGGAACCAGAGAGCCAGGGTATTTTATGGCAGGTCACTACAGGCAGGCAGATGCAGGGACTGTCCCATGGGTAGCTTTAAAGAAGCTGCCCCCAAAGGAACTCTCATCCACTACTGGTAGGAATGTAGTCTGGTTCAAACCTATCGAAGAAAGTACAGATTTCTCAGCAAACTAAGACCCGAGCTACCACATGACTCAGCAATTCCACTGTGTGGTGATTTCTCGGTGAACTATGAACTGAGCTGCCAGACAACCCAGCAATTCCACTTCTGGGTATCTACCTCCAGGGTACCTACAACTCCACCTTCAAGTATCTACCTACAAGATACCATAACATTATTTTGGAAAAATAGACACACTATTATTCACTGCAGTAGTTAGTACAAAGTCTCATTCAAACTAGGGTGTCCAACAACAGATGAGAGGATCATGAGGCGTGGTGCATTGTACATACACACAATAGAATACAGGGAAGCTGCAAGGAATGATGAAATCATGCATTTGCTGCAACTTGCACAGGACTGGAAAATACCATGCTAACTGAAATAAGTCGGAAGAAGGATAAACACAGGATGCTCTCACTTATCTGTGGTATACAGACTAACCGAACACAAAAATGCAATGTATTAAAGGGGGGGTAGCCTAAATTACCTTGATCCCAGAGTATAAGAAGGAGGACAAAGGAGGAAAGTAAGCAAGGGGGGAAATAAGAAGAGGCAGATAGGAAGAAAAGGGCGAGGATGGGTGGCAGGGGTCAAAGACTTCAGGCACATCAGTGGTGTGCAGGAGCAGTATAGCTCCATACCCAAAGCACACAGTCAACAACACTGAAAACATGAGATCCAAAATATAACAACTACTACAAAAATTAAACTAAAAAATGTACTGTCGGGGCTGGAGTGACAGTACAGCAGGTACAGTGTTTGCCTTGCATGCGACCAACCCGGGTTCAATTCCTGGCGCACCAATTGGTCCCCCAGCACCGCCAGGAGTGATTCCTGAGTGCAGAGCCAGGAGTAACCCCTGAGCACCAATGGGTGTGACCCGAAAAGCAAAAATAGATAGATAAAATCCGCCAAGCTTTAAAAATAAAAGTACTGTCAAGGGGGCAGGCTGGAGGAGGGGGTTGAGGGGCAGTGTGAGAAGGAACCTGGGAACACTGGTAAAGGGAAGTTGATGCTGGTGGTGGGTTTGGTGATAGATTATTGTATATCTAAAAAACAACTCTCAATACACTTAAAAATCATGGTCCTTTAATAAAATTTTCTAATAAATATAGTAAAAAGTGAAGAAAAATAAAAGAAATTGGTCCAATTGGCAGTAGGGGGTGGGGTGGAGTGAGAGGATGAGTATTAGAGTAGAGTGCCCTGTGGTTAAGAACACACGTAGAACTAGATATTTTAGGGGCTACAACGGCAACTTTGAATTAAACACTGAAGAGATTCAAACTGATTTTTCTCGAGCAGGGGTGGTGAGTCTGGTAGTGACTTGGAAGCAACCTAACATTAAATGAAAAACAAAGAAATTTCACTTAGCTTCTATTTTATTTTAACAAAATATTTCCTTTAATACATTATTTCAATAAAACAAATTATGTTAACAAAATAATTGCAATAAATTTTAAGTTACAGAATATTTTAAGTCACTGTCACTGTCCTCCCGTTGTTCATCGATTTGCTCGAGTGGGCCCAGTAACATTGTGAGACTTGTTACTGTGTTTGGCATATTGAATACGCCACAGGTAGCTTGCCAGGCTTTGCCATGCAGGCGAGACACTCTCGGTAGCTTGCCGGGCTCTCTGAGAGGGGCGGAGGAATCGAACTTGGGTCAGCCATGTTGGCTGTTTGCAAGGCAAACGCCCTACCACTGTGCTATCGCTCCATCTCATATATATATATATATATATATATATATATATATATACATATATATCCATCCCTTGGCTTTCCTCTGAATCAAAGCATTTAAAAAAATTGGGGGGAGGGGGGTTTCATTACACTCCAGCCTTCAGAAACCACAGACACTTCTCAATACAAATAATATGAAGTCAAATTACATCAGAAGCTGACTAAATTACAATTCTTTGTATTTTTCATTTATGAAGCAAAAATTTATGAGAAGTCATTATCAATTTTTCAAAATCATTAGTTGTTACTTATTACCTTGTAGAGCTTTAAAACTCATAATAAAATGAAAAAATAAGTCAGAATTCATTTATATTCGTCTCTAAAATCACTTTGATTGCTTTTCCAAAACTTTAAAAATCATAATTAACCACAACCATTTTTGTTGTCCCAAATTTCATTTCTATAAGAAAACTGTAACTCCTATTTAATTTTTTTATTAATTCTGACATACACTTTGTAATGAATTTCTATCACTATGACTGACAAATTGAAACCATTACATTATATAAATTCTCTACATGTTACTTAGTTGCAGAAAATAGAAAATCTTATTGAATGCTACTCAAAGGTGGTTCCACTAATGTGAGACAGTAAGAAACCAATGATAGAACTACTTAGGACCCAGGAAGTGGTTTCACTACCAGAGGAAGATAAACAGAATGGCAAGCATGACATCTGTAAAGCAGCCTCAAGATCAAACAGTATACGTTTAGAGACAAGAAGACAAAGACTCTAGGGAGGG